ATAAGAATGCAAAATTTACCCGATATAAGGCAGAGTGACGTCATCAGAAATGATTAAATTTCATCATAACCACACGGGGATTAGCCACATATAGCCGCGAATTGCACCGGGACATGTGTTGAAAGTGTACTAATGCATTGCGAAATATTCTCAGCATTTTTTTGCGAAAACTAAGGGTAGTAATCTGCGGAGTGTTTTAGCCGGCTATTAGGCGACTGGATGAACATTCTCCCGCGAGGTGCTAATGCTTTAACGACAATACTAGACTTAAAGTTTAGCGATATCGTGTTTGGATAACACTTCCAGTCACTAAACGACCTGGCGGATGCCATTAAGATACTCGATTAAGCCAGGAGTAAAAAAGGTAAGTGTAATCTTAGGCAACAGGCTACTATAACATGCCATCAAGTGCCCACGTGTTTTTTTCTGTGCTTTGCAGAGACTGACAGAATTGCGGCAATGTTCTTTAAACTGGACCACATCCACGAATTTTCTTCGACCGAAAAGGTCGAAAAGGCAGGAATTTACGAGGAGAATTGTTTTCCGGTCTTTGCTGTGTTAAGTCCTCGTTCTTAAGAAAGGTTATTTTGGTTACTCCACCCCCTCCCCCCATTCTAAAGCGTATGCTGTGGTACTAAAGCAAACACTGAATCTGCGTGCACGTTTTAAGAGTCTGATGCGAAAAACGGCACATATTGTAGTTACGAGAACGCATGTTCAGGGTGAGAAGCCATCTGAAAGTAGGTTCGAATATTGTTACCCGTTTTGGAAATTTCAGGCAGCTCACTCAATCTTTTGAATTTTCATTGGTTTCAGCTTCCAGTGGGCCTTTCGGCAATGGCACCTGGTTAGATACGACGGTAAGGATGCGACCGTCATTTTACCTGCTTAACTATTGAAGCCTTGCCATTTGTTCGTTGTGACTAAGTAGCATTGTGTTTGATCGTTTATTTTTTGGTTTTTGGCTTGCGCGCTTATTGGATTCTATTCGCACTAGTTGTGGATAGACAGTCCCCTTTAAAAGGTATAGAACCGGCGACTGAAAAAATGGCGACCTTTACGGATCAGTTCTGCAGGCTTTTACGTGTTGCGGCAGCGTCTGCGCCCATTACTGACATGCAGCTGAGTTTATAATTCAGTATATATGATGGATATAGACAGAGCCTTGGAAAACCATATTTACAGATAGAGGTATGAAAAAAAACGCAGATATTTACATAACAGTTGTGCCAGTCATTGATATCGTGTAAATGTTTGACCACCAAGCATAAATTTATCTAGTCTTCCTTTGAATTTCTCAACGGTTTCCGCTATAACAACGGACTTCGGCAATTTGTTCCATCGTTCAGCAAGCCGGTGAGAGAAGAATTGGGCCCACAATTCAAGTTTGACATATTTTATCTTCAATTTGTTTTGTTGCCCTCGAAAATTGGTCGTCCGCGCTAGTTCGAAGAAACTGCCAAACTGAAGAGCACAGTCTAGCCCTCTGACGATTCTGAAATCCATGATCATATCCCTCCGTATTGTCTATAAGAGAGAGGAAATATTTTTAGCTTTTCCAGGCGTCTCTCATAAGGCAGGCAACTTAATCCGCTGACCAGCTTTGCCGCTCTTCGTTGTGCGTTCTCCAACAGGGTTTAATCTTCGTTCGCTCAGGGACACCATGCCTGAACACAATATTCCAACACTGGTCGAGCAAATGTTCAAAATACTCGGCCGAAAAGTTTTTCGTCAAAATTGCGGAAGATTCTTCTAATCGCGCCTAGCATACCCATAGCTTTCTTTGATATCGTGGCGCAGTGAGACGATGGTTTGAAAGTTGACGCCATCCACACACCGAGGTATCTTCACTGGTTGGCTGATTCGAGTTGGTGACCTCCTTTAAAGTTGTGAGATTCAAATCTCAACGGCCTCCTGTTGCTCGATCGTAATCGGATATGTTGGCATTTGTTAAGGTTGAGGTAAAGACAGCACTCATCACATCACGGTTGCAAGCGATTCAGATTGTTTTTTTTTTTAACTGCAGAGACCCTTCTGACTACTCAAATGATTTCCAAAATTGGAGATCATCGGCAAACATTTCGCACTAGCAGCTCAGACAGTCCAGGAAGTCGTTCACATATATTAAGACCAAAATTGGTCCCACAGCGCTCCCCTGCGGAGCGCCACTGTGGATAGTTGCCCATTTCGATTTAGCGTTTCCTATACGCACACGCTGAGATCTGCTCGCAAGAAAATCGGTTAGCCAATTCAACAGATTTTCACTTACGCCCACATGACGTAGTTTAAATATACCTCATCTGTGTGCAACCCTATCAAAAGCCTTTCTTAAGTCAATGTACACGGCGTGGACTGATAAACCCATGTCGATTGATTTCTTCCACTTCTCCATGGATACTAGCAGGTTAGTGAGACAGGATCGGCCCCCTCGAAATCCATGCTGATGAAAACTGAGCAAGTTGATTTCTACAAGATGTCACACCAGCTCCGTTTTTATAACCTTTTCCATTAATTTGCAACAGATCCTTGTGAGGCTCACTGGTCTAGGACTATTTAGGTCTGTTTTCTCGACACCCTTATTAATGGGGCTTATATTTGCATTCTTCCAGTTGGCAGGCAGAGTCCCGGTCTTCATCAAATTTCTGAAGATCCTGGATAACTGGGAGGCCAGTTGGTCTGAGAGTTCACTCAGGACTTTTGCGAGCACGCCGTCCGAACTAGGAGATTAAGTGGGTCGTATTTGACTCAACGTTTTCCATACCGTGTCCATTGTGAAGGCAACCGTGCTTATTGTATTGTTTGATTTGACAATTGGGAGTAAACTCCTTCATCAAAAGCCGGTTCTTCGGCATACACAGAAGTGAAGAAGTCGAACAACAGGTTCGATTCATCTAAATTGTCAGACAACGTATTTCCCGGTTGCGTTTCGCCTTATTCACGTATCGAAAGAATTTTTTACTCAAATTCTGCCCTTCCTCTCCTTAACAGACTCCGGCATACATTGCTCTGTTGTTTAAAGTCGGCGAACTGCTCTGGTTGTTGACATCGGGCGTACTTTTTACAAAGTCTCCATTTCAATTTAATGTCCTTCTTTTTTTCTGACGTCACACAATTTGGCCGGGAAGTGCGCGGTTTCCTCTTCAGTGGGCAACAGATCTCTAACAAGTGCTGCATTACGTTCCTGAAGAAGAGCCAGGTCCTTATGCTGCATTTCTGTTCATCCTCTGTAGCAGATTTTTTATTCTGGGATAATCCCCTTTCCATATATTTCTTTCCTCTGCAGCTTGAATTTCGGGTACAGGAAAATGACTATACTCCAATACAAGAACTCAGTGGCGACTTTGGCCAAGGGGCCTGTGCGATTACAATCTGTGAATACAACTATCATACCTAGTGATGATTAGGTCCAAACAACTGAATCGAGTGTCCATTTTAACATGTTGGGTAAGAAACACATCGGTGATCAGTTCCTAGGAGTTTCCTGATAGCGTGCAATGCATCAAAGCCGATTAGATATCTGGACATTTGAAGTCACCAAGTAGAATTATGTGTTTGCTTTGACAAATTTCTTTTATCGGAATACTGAGTGCATCGTCCGCCTCCGTCCGCCGTCCCGATGGTCTGTAGACCAGGGCCATATGGAGGCTTAGATGGTTTGGCACTTTCGAGTAACAACTGAGTATTTCACAATCAATGTTCCTAAACGGGGAAGGCTCAGGTCTGACGTAGTCGATGTCACCTCGTTCGTTTCGGTTCATTCGGAGAAACTGAAAGCCATCTAGCTTAACTTCCGCGTCTTTTATCTGCTCATTTAACCATGCTTCTGTTAGAGCTATCAAGTCGCATTGGAAATGGGCAACGCTTAGTTTTATTCAGTTTATTTGGTAAGGATAATAGGCAAAACCTTTGAAAACCCTGCTGATTACATGTCAGCTCGTTAGAAATAACTGTACATGAACAAGTTCCACAACCCGCGCGGTTTGAATTTTGAGTTGCAAGACGGAAGTTTTTCAATCGAGTCTCTTCACTGAAAACGACTGTCCTTCACCAAAAAGTGGATTATAAAATGCCTTTCTGACCACGATCCTCCAGCTATTTTCATCGATACTCCTATCGTTCGATCAGAACAAACTTCAGCAAAAACGGTCTTCCTGTCGGAAATCTCGGCTTGTCTACAGGGCATACCCATCCAATACACCATCTCCAATTGCTCACCAAAGTTAGGAGCAACATCTACGAGAAGGCTGAGTCGATATTTCTACACTGCTTGCTGTGCTGCTTAAATTCGGACAACTCGAGTTGTCACACTTTACCATAGATTTACCTGAAAAAAACGTTCCCTGGAAACTTTCGGCGTATCCAGCATAAGCATAGACACTGTCCACAGTTGTGCATTAGGAAATAGCTTGTTATTCCTGTAGATTTGTCCGTTTTTCATAAGTCCACTACATAATGACGATTTGCGCAGCCACACAAAGTAGTGCGTCGCACGTCGGAGTCGAACCACCGACCGTCGACATTCCAGTCGCGCACGCTAACCCCTCGGCCACCGCGGCACGACGGCGAGCGGTGTCGCAAAGTTTACTTGATAGTAAATGCGTGCCGCATACCGATCGATTTTGCAGTGGATGCGAGATATTGGCCCAAAAAATCAACCGCCTTGAGGAAGAGATGGAAAAGATGAAAACTCTTCTACAATGTAAACTAGACACACTTGGCGATGCGAATGTACCTGCTGGACGAATAACTAGAAGTAGGGCCAAAGGACGTCGCACAAAAAATACGCCATCAACACCTTCTGCAGATGTCACGGCACACCCAGCACCAACACATAAAATACAAGACGACAACAACCAGCGAAGCAACGATAAAAAACAGAGGAAAAAAAGAAATCGTGCAGCAAAAAGGTCGAAGGACATGAACAGCAGCTCCCGAGGAATGCCTCCGAAGAACCGGAACCAGGGACGTCGGCGTCCGTGTCGCCCATCACGGGAAATGACATGGGTCCTAAAACCCTCAACCTATCGCAAAAAACTGTCGACTTTGATGAAAATGCAAACAAAGCAGAGACGAATGAGGATCTTAATCGACTGCAGCTTATATCCTCGTCAGATCATGACAACCACATGTTGCCTATGTCGGAGCACGAAACCACTGTGTTCTCGAGAGTGTCGCCGGTCAGAGGACAATGTCTGATTATTCAGGGACTTCCCGAATCCACAGCTAGTACCTCCAAAGAGCGGGTCTCGGCAGACCTACAACTCTTCCAATGTCTACTCAACGAACTTCTGCGCCCCAATGAGGAAGTTTCGGTTCTCAAGGCCTTTAGGCTTGGAAAGCGCTCAATCGACATATCAGAGCACTTACGTCCCCGACCACTCAAGATTGTGTTAGCCAACCAAGGACAAGTAGGACTTATTCTCTCACGACGATTCCGAATCAAAAACACCAACCGCGGCGTTTTTTTTCAGCCGGACTACACACCGGCAGAGAGAATAAAACGTCGACAATTAGTTCTGGAACTGAGAACAAGGTTGCAGGATGGCGAGACGGATCTTGTGATCTACAACAACCAGATAGTGCAGCGCCCTCCCCTAATCCGTTGGACCGAACCGATCCGGATGAGGGCACAGTAGCTTCCTTAAATGGGATCACAAGCGGCACCATAATCAAACGCCCCAAAACTCTGAAACTAACGTTTTTTTACACCAACGTGCAGAGTATATTGCCCAAGTTAGACGAACTGAAGATCCACATCTGTGAACTTTCCCCTGACATTGTCTCTTTGACAGAAACCTGGATGTCTGAAAACGTGGATGACCGCGAATTAGTGCTACCAGGATTTCAGTTGTTTCGAAGAGACAGGAGAGAGCGTCAGGGAGGAGGAGTCGTCACGTACGTAAAACACGGCCTGCTTGTGTCAGAAAAAACAGAACAGTTTGCATGCAGCGCCGAGACTATCTGGCTCACTATAAGGGTACCAGGATCACATAGCCTTGAAGTTCTGACCGTCTATCGACCACCGAGGAGTGACCCCGAGGCTGACGCTCGTCTGTTAGAGGAGCTAGGACGATTTTCTCTCCGGCTTGACGTCCTAATCATGGGCGACTTCAATGCACCGCTCATTGATTGGAGTTCATTATACGCGCGCGGCCCAGAACTAGCTTTCGACCGACGCTTCTTGGACATGGCACTCAGGTCATTTCTCACACAGCACGTCCTATTTCCCACGAGGGCCCGTGAGGGGCAGCAGTCAAACTGCTTGGACCTGGTGCTCACAAAATCGATGGACAGCATAGATGAGGTACAATGTCTGCCTCCCTTAGGTCGAAGCGATCACGTTGTACTTCAATGGGACTATTCAATCTTTTCCGTGCCTGAACAGCCCACCAAAATTAGAAGAAATATTTGGCGTGGGGACTTCGATCAAATGAAGACCGAAATCAACAATACGGACTGGGAATCAGCGTTTTCCGGAAATATAGAGGAGGATTGGAAATGGTTCAGTGAATTATTGCATGTTCTCCTGACAAACCACTGCCCGCTTTCACGGAAGGGGCTAAACAATCGACCCCGGTGGCTGACCCAGGCGTTAAAAAAGGAAATAAATAAAAAACGGAGATTGTGGCAGAAATCTCTTACTGATGGGACTCCTGTATCCACAAACGCATACAAAAGACAAAGGAACTTAGTCAAGCGACTAACCCTCAGGACAAGGCAAAATTTTGAAAAAGACCTATTGAATCGTGCTATGGAAAATCCAAAATTATTCTACAGCTACATAAGAAGCAGCACACTAAACAGAGATCCAATCCCCCTCCTGAAGACAAGCGGAGACGTAGAGATTAGTGAGGATGGAGAAAAAGCTGAGCACTTTTCAAAATTTTTCAAATCCATCTTTACTAGGGAAAGTCCATTTACTCCTCCAGACTACGACTTCGATGAGGGTCCAAAAATTGAGTCTGCATCTTTTGATGAAGCGACTGTTCGCAAAGAGCTAATGACGCTAAATGAGTCGAAATCACCAGGTCCAGACGACATACCGCCTAAGTTACTAAAGGAGCTCGCTGCCGAACTAGCCAAACCATTGTCCATGCTTTTCCAAGCCTCGTTCGAAGCCGGCTGCTTGCCCGCCGACTGAAAATCTGCGCGGATCACACCACTGCATAAAGGAGGCAGCAAGGCCTCTGCAAACAATTATAGGCCAATTAGCCTCACCTCCATCTGCTGCAAAATCATGGAAAAAATAATTAAGCGAGAGCTAATGCGCCTCCTAGAGCAACATAATCTACTATCTGATGCGCAGCATGGATTCCGTAGTGGCGGGTCTTGCGTGACTAACTTGCTCAACTGTTTGGAACGTTGGACTCTGTCAGTTGATGAAGGCAATGCGCTACATGTAGTCTATATCGACTTTAAAAAGGCATTTGATAGTGTCCCACATCAGCGATTGCTGCGCAAACTGAGCCCAACAGGCGCTAGGGGTAACCTCTTAAAATGGATTCAAAGCTTCCTATTTGACCGTTCTCAAACCATCCATGTCGATGGCCAGCAGACGGAGGTTGCCGTTGAAAGCGGCGTTCCCCGAGGCTCAGTTCTTGGTCCTACTTTGTTCATCAACGATTGCGTTAGTGGACTGGATTGTGGTGTCGCCATGTTTGCGGATGACATTAAGCTCTAGAGCGTCATTCGAACTGCAGATGACGAAGAGCGTCTGCAGGCGAACCTAAACCGACTCCAACAGTGATCAAAGGCCTGGCTTCTGCCGTTCAACGAGAAAAAGTGCAATATTCTACGAGTCAGCAGAGCTCGCTCTCCGAACCATATGGCCTACTGCCTAAACGGTATACCACTGCAAGAAGTGGACTCGCAGAAGGACTTGGGAGTATGGATTACGACCTCGATCAAACCCTCGCTGCACTGCACGAAGATAGCCAAGTCTGCAATGTCAGTCCTCTACCTTGTCCAGCGGGCTTTCGCTGCCTTTGATGAAGACTGCTTCGCTAAAGTCTTTCGAACTTTTGTGCGTCCGCAACTAGAATTTGCTATCCAAGCTTGGAGACCCTGGACCGCGAAGGACCTCAGCATCCTTGAAAGGGTTCAAAGGCGTGCAACGAAACTTGTGGCAGGACAGGGTTCACTACCATATGCAACGCGGTTAGCTAACCTTGATCTCTTTCCCTTGAGTTACAGTCAGTTAAGGGGTGACCAGATACAAGCCTTCCGTATCATACGCGGTCAGGACTGTACCCTCGTACCGGGGGACTTCTTCGAGTTAACAACCACCACAAATCTACGAGGCCATCCATTCAAACTACGTGTGACAGGGGCCAGACTGGACACACGAAAGTTCTTCTTCTCCAACAGAGTGCTAGAAGCCTGGAATGCCCTGCTTGTGGATGTCGTTATGCCTGCTTCCGTCGAGGTCTTTAAGAGGAAGCTGGATTTGTGTAGCAGTGTCCACTAAATTATCACCCCGATCTTTGTAACCTGGACAAATTCCGTTATTATAATACTACTTGCTATATTTCAGTAGCATTTTAAATCGAATGTTTTATTGTGCCAACTCATCGCCTACGCTTACTGACATGCACATATGCAAATCTTGTCACCGGATATATTATTTATTTTGCTGCACTCGAAACGACAGCTCTACAACTGCTCGTACCACTAAAACTCGAGACAGTTTGTTTGTCTGTACAGACCTGACGCTTTTCCGATTATTTGTTCCCTTATGATACCTTTTCGAGTTTTTGAGATTTTGCAGTTGTTTGTAAACAAAGAGGGAGTTCAAAGGTGAAGACCTGCATTTCCCTCAATAAACTGAACTGAACTGAACTGAATAAAATTATTCGCTATTGAAACAGTACTTCATTCATTTAAGTAGCATTGTCTCAGAGAAAATATTCGGGGGGTCGTGGGTATTAGTTCCGATTCAGACTGTCGAGGGAAAACAGGGGACACAAATATTTATCCCACAGTTTCTTGAAGAGTTGCAGAGACATAGCCTCCACGACTGACTGACGGAGATCGTTCCATTTCTGCACTACCCTCTGCGTGGAAAATTCAAAACGAAGATTCAGCCTGGACATTGTTGCTCGTAACTTCATCCAGTGACCACGAAGATTGGACGAAAGGTGCCACTGAAACATGCCCTCAAAGTTAAGTCCATGCTCAAGACTATGTATTGTCTTGTAGACGAGGGTAAGATCACCTCTTTGTTGCCTGTAACACAGAGGGAACAAATTAAGGCAATTCAGTCTGTCTGTGTAGGATTGGCTTTTTAGACCGTTTACCAGCTATGTTGCACGACCTTGCACCCGTTCGAGGCATGCTTGGTTCTTTACTTGCCTTGGTCGCCACGCTTGTACGCCATACTCTAGGTGGGGCCGGACAAAGGTGCCGTAAACTTTCCCAAAGACGTCTTGGTCAAAGGTTAGGAACGCACTTTTGATTGCATGCAGCACTCCCATGACGTTTCCTGCAGCCTTGTGGCACTGTAGTGTTGGTTTCAGGTTGCTCTGCATCCAAACCACAAGATTTTATTTAAGGATTCACGGGTAGCCTTATTTCTTTCAGTTGACATGTCCTCAGGCTCTCATTTGGATGAGAGTTGGTTGGACGCAGATGAAGGATGGCACACTCCCCCTCATTTAAATGTAGAAGCCATTTCTTCGACCACGCTTGCAGTCGGTGCAGATTATCTTGAGGGGATATCTGATCATTCGGTCCCTTAATGACTTGCCAGAGCTTAACGTCGTCGGCAAACATTATTTTGCCTCAGTCGAGTTCCTGAAGACTGTCATTAACATAAAGGATGAAGAGCAATGGTCACAGAACTGAGCCTTGAGGCACACCACTGGTCAGATTCGCCTATTCTGACATATCATCTCCGATACAGACACGTTGTTTCAGACCAACCAGAAACGCCCTAATCCAGTTCAGAAGATCTCCCCGGATGCCTATGGCGCTCAATTTATGAGGAAGGCGTTGGTGCGGAACAGTATCGAAAGCTTTGCAGAAATCGATGTACACGACATCGACCTCAAAACCCTCTTCTAGAGTCCTGGTCCAGATCTCCAGAGAAGCTAGCAGATTTGAGAGGCAGGAACGTCCTCTCCGGAAGTCATGTTGAAAATCCTGCAAGATGTTATTTTCTTCACAAAATTGCTGTTTAGCGCTGTTTACTAGAGCTTCCGTCGTTTTGTATGGCAGGCAAGTCAAGCTAATAGGCCTGAAGCTGCTTACTGTCATCCTGCTACCTCCCTTATATAAGGGAACGAGGTAAGCTGTCTTCCACTGTGATGGTAGCAGTCCTGTTCTCATTGACAGCTCAAAGAGGCTTTGGCAGCTCCGTTGACACCTTCTTAAGTATCAGCCCGGGAATTCCATCAGATCCAGGAGACTTATCAGGTTTTATTTGACTGAAGACGCGTCTTACCTCTTCGGCAGAAAAATCAACGGTTTTAATGACGGCAGTATCTTGGCGCATTTGAAGCTCCTGGCTGTCTCGGTCCATTTCAAACCGCTGATTGTCTTCTGAGGACTCCTCCGTAAAAACCGACTGGAAAAACTGAGACAGTAATTGCACTTTCTGTGGCCCTTCAACTAATGAGTTTCCGAGGCTATCCTTTAGACAGGCAATTTCGTCCCTATGTTTCCTCTTACTGCGGATGTACCCGTAAAACTTCTTGGGACATGTAATGGGGTCTGCTATCAGTCGGCACTCGAAAGAAGTTCTAGCAACCCGTATTTGCTCGTGGTATTTATTGCGCTGATCCCTATATTCGGCGAATGACTTTGGATCCCGAAGTTGTAAATACTATTTCCACAGTCTCTGTTTCTTCTTCATGGTCCCTTTTGTCGTCGGATTGACCCACGGCGGTCGCGCACATGGTCTTGTTATTTTTATTGGACAATGGGAGTCAATTAGACGCTCTAAAATCCCGCGAAAGTACTGCCAGAATTTCCTTGAATCTTCCATGTTGACTAACCAGGTTTCCTTCAAAAAAGTACGTGTCATTGCGTTAAAGTCCCCCTTCCAAATATTTCTGCGCCTCTTGATTTTTGGTTGTTGGTTCGATAGGAGAGTGCACACGCAGGTAAAAGCAATATGGTCGCTTAAACCGAGTGGAGGTTGTGGATTCACTTCCCTTATGGCTTCTTCTTTACTGAAAACGAAATCTAAACAGTTAGATCGTTGTCCTTCTCTCGGTCTTTTTCCGAATTTTATGTGCTGAATGAGGTATTTTATTCAAGGAGACGTTTAGTAGCTTGTGGTCGAATGACGTGGGCGGAGCGTTTGTTAAAGGAACGTTCCAGTCTATTCCTGGAGCGTTAAAGTCACCCAGAAGTAGTAAGTTCTCCTGCTTACATAACAACTCCAGTGCACTAAGTAATTCCATATTCGTCCAATTTGTTGAATAAACTCTGAACATTTGCTTGCATCATTTTTATATTATTCGGTTGTTTAGATCTCTAGAAATTGTTTGTTAGTGCTATCGACTGAGAGTTACTACTGGATATTTCACATGGCGTACCAGGCCCATTTGATTTTGAATTTACTGATGTTTGTCGGAAACGAGCTCCGGTGCTTATACCGTCAATGGCATTGGATGATTCCACAAGAAGGAACACTTTATTTTACTATTTTCGGATTCACTTTGCCCTCTGTCTGACGTTTTTTAGTTCCGCTACCAGCAACCTCATTTTCATCCGTTCGATTGGATGATATTCCGGCCGAAAAACACCCTACGATGGTTGTTTTGAAGCTTGAACTTTCGCGACAAGATGAGATCTGCTTGCTGTTCATTTCCCAATACGAAGTTTAGTAGTCTCGGTCGCACTTTCTCTGCATTATTTCTAACTAAACGCTCCAAACGGAAAAAATTTGGATATCGTATACCTCACCGGGTTCTTGGGTGTCATTCAGTAGGTTTTCTAACGTCAGCAGATCATGTTTCACCCTCTCTTGCGGGGTGTCACCAGGTGCTTCAGGAACTCCTTGTACTACCGCAGAACGCGATCTCTCGGGAAAACAACTGCTGGTTGTATCCTGCCCTCTTTTGCTGGTGGTTGGTTGAGTCTCAGATTCTGGTACTGCCTACATGGCTATATCCAGATCAATAACTAAGTTACTCGCGTCCGCATTATATGCTGTAACGTCTTTATTTGGCTGCCTCACATGATTTCTTGCATTATAGCTGGATACACATATGAAGGGCAAGCTGCTAGCGCTCATTTGTGGCGTAGGTAAGTTCATACCAATTCTTCTCAAGTTTCTTTGGGGTTGTAGACCGTTGATTTATTTTGGCGCAGACGGATTCTGTATAATAGAGATTTTCGAATTTTATGGAAATACGATCCTATAGAGATGTAACCACTGCTTATCGATTTTGGCTTAGTCGTGCTAAATTCGTTGACCGTTATCGCTCAGCCACCGTTTGTAACTGACAGGCAGGCCCGGCCTTGGTTATTTAAGTCGTCACCCACGTCGGATTGCATTTCTCTGTTGTTTGCTTTCAGGAACTGTGCCGCGAAGGTCATGTGTGGTCGAGTAATCCTCAACCCGTCTCCGATAATTCGTTTTGTCGTTCATTTCGTTTTACGAAAACGCGCCTTGTAACAGTTTTTCACTTTTTATAGTCGATAATAAATTCATATCTTTTCATTATCTCCCTTATCTCTATGAGGTCCCACATGCCTGTGTCACACAATCACGTTCGTTTCGAGATACAAGAACTTCGAGACAGGATTTTCTAAGCAGCTAGGCCATCTGAGTTTAAGTAACCGTCATTCATGATCTGACGCCGCTCCCCCGCTCGGCCGCTACACGTCCCCACGGCATCGCGTCAGTCAATTTCAGACTTTCATTTTGTTGGCTTTGGAAAACTGACATATTGTAACTTCCCAGCATAACTGAGAGACAGAAACCCCATTGTTTTAATCGTGATCACTCTTTCGTAGATCGATTGTGAGGCCTGATCACGCGTGGACCATCATCGAGGTCCGTCAATCTGATTAGTCCAACTCTCAACATTTTCCCACTTATCTGTTTCATTGTACATTAGTAATTATGTAGTCTTACAGTTTCGTTACTTCTCCCAGTTTTCCACACCCGTGTTTTGCGTATATCCTTGTACCCACCGAATTTCAAACATTTTCATTCGGGACTATTTTTCTATCGTTCGTTATCTTTCGTTTTTCCAACCTGGTTATAACCTCATCGTTCAGTTATACGTTGCCTCTCGCATTTAGTAAGCCGCTTGCATTTTCCATCCGCCGTTTAATACTCATCGCTTACTTATGCGCCCGCATGGGAATGCCTGTATAATGGATACATTAGGTACGAACACTCAAGAACCGGAGTCTCTGACCAGGAAACGGATGTTATACTCAGACTCAAGTGATCCTCAGTCTGTCCGTCTCCCCCTCCCCACCCCCGAGCACGCAGGACAATATAATATGTGGCAGTTTGCAGCCTCAATCACCACAGGGACTAATCCTGTGTTATGCTTGCTCTTCCCTGTTCGTCTCTTGATTAAATCTTTCAGTATCACCTGGAGGCCCCATAAATGCCAAGGACGATTAATGCCCGGACGTCGTGTACCAGAGGAAGCCATCTGGACGCCGTCGCCTCTCCCGCATTGCCTCTCTGCTGCCGGGACCCACCAAGACATACCTCCTAATCAGCCTATCCCCGTCACAGGACTGTCCCGTGTTTCCGATCCAGTCTGAACTCTAACCTCTCCTTTCCGTCATCATAGAGAATTTCCAACCTCCTCTAAGAAACTCCTCTTCTCGAAGTTTGAGGGGACTGCATGCGTATTATTCTCAGCCCTCGCTCTAGTCGACTTTGTTACAATACTTCCAGTTACTTGACGATCTGGAGGGTACCGTTATGTCAGAAATAGCAAGAAAAGTTTACTTTTAGGCAACCGGCCGCCATTAAAAGGCTAGAAGTGCTCACTTGTTTTTTTATGCATGGAAAAGCGAATGTAATAATGATAACGTCAGTTGAAGTGGACCACAACCATTGCTGGCACGCGCTAGATTGTCATTTGGATTCACTTATACTGTAACGTCCGATTGGTCAAGGCTGGGCAGTTAATTTCGATTTTTCTGACTCAGACTTTTGTTTTCGATTCCACTGCTACGTTGACAGTGATAAGCGCCCGTGGCACCGACACGCAGCCTAATTCCGCCGAGACGGCTTCAGAACAGCTTATTTACTACCCACAGTGAATGGAGCCAATTTTTTGCTGAAAATTTTGAACTTACGATTTCAAAATAAAGCGCATTTCCTCCTCCTCCTCCTCCTCCTCCTCCTCCTCCACCCAGACAGTACGTCGTAACATCCTCTAGACTGAGTTACCACCTTTTCCTTATGTTCTTTCACGTTTTATACTGGTATGGTTTGAGCAACAAACGTTTGCTTAATTTCGTATTTCTATATCATGGGTTGTATGAATGATGGCGAGTAATCATAATTCTGTCAGTGATCCTTACAAGTCCGATTTTGAAAGTGGATACGCCGATAAGTCGGCTATAGAAGCTGCCGAGGTGCCAGCTTCCCACAACATCGATCGGGCATACGTAACGAGGAGCAGACGGAACGTAACATTGGTGCCTACAGGTGCAGGACCAATTTCATCCCCTATTTTAACACCGCAGACGGCTTCTACACACAGTTACAATTACCAACTACCAAATCAGCACCCTCCTTCTCTCCTAGTACCCGATATATCCCAGTCTGGTCGAAACATTCAAGATTACTAAGTTGAGCTACACCTTCTTGTCGTTTCTGTTCCCCCAGTTAACCACATTCGGTAAATGTTGCGCTTCCCGTCGCCTACTGCACGTAAGCTAGCACTCATCTCCGGTATATCAGTCACAACCCCCCCCTCTCCATCGCGAAGTAAACTCTCATCAGATTGTTAAACAACCTATTGAATACCGGAACTGCTAGCGAGAGATTCTTCAATTCACACCCAACACCACAGCAAACCACGGACGATTTTGAACTTGAGGTGGGTCAGCTGGCTCCGCATGCCTCCCCTAATTTACCACGGGCTGACGGCGAAGAACTCATACTTTACCGGTTGGTGACGGGCCCTCGTGGTCGTGCGACTACCAACATTTCCCTCTTTCATCCACCCTCGGACCTTGCAACGGCCCTACGACAATGCCGTGAGTATGAAAACTATCACGCACAATCCAGCACACGAGACGTGAACGGCAACATACAGAAGGAATGTCATCGTGTAGCGCGTCACTTGCCAGTGCTATTATTGAACCATCATCCTACTTTCCAGTACTGTGGCGCATTCGGACCTAGAACGTGAAGCTGCGGGCATAACCTTGGTCGTAGGTTTATACCGTTTCCTCCTGAGCGCGCACCTGTAGCCTTAGTCTGCACATTATTTATAATGGAAGTAGAATATGCAGGTCACACGAAGCGGGTCCTTGTTGACACTGGCGCGAATGTTTCACTCGTGAAGGCAAGCTCTATTCCTTCAGTAGTACTCAGGCAGATGTTCTAATCATATACTGCGTCTGGCCTACATGCAGCAAATCTTGCCACAGTTGAAGTTGTCGGCGGTATTTTTTTACCACTGAGAGTCAGGCCTAGTACTTTCAGCCATATTTTCCTTAGACACACCCCAACTCGATCGGGGCTTCATACTGGGGACAGATTCCCTCTCTACACTCGACTGCACTGTTCGTGTAAAGGGCCGTCAAATTTACCTACGTCATACACTTTCCGCTAACGGCGTGGGAGCCCAGGTGGACCCTGATAGAGCATAAACTGCTGTGATAGCTTCTGTATCGTTCTCACCAACGAATTTTAACGAACTGTTATTACATGCGACCGACACTGAAGCCCATCACCGACCACAACTTAAACTCCTCCTCCAATCTTTCCCTGAGGTGTTTGCCTGATCAACCCAGGACATTGATCGTGCGCATAGCTCACTACATTTAGTTGACACCAGGTCTGTCAAGCCGATCTGGCAACAGCGATGCTGAATTTATATTCGTTACAGAGCGGGAGTAGGCAAGGATATTTATGAGCTTCTCAAAAAAGATGCAATCCTAAGACAAAAAGACACCATACTAGCAGCACAAGTACTAGCTAAAAGCCCATTTACACGTGTTTCGCCGATATTCCGTCACTGCATGGCACGGCTGCGAGGGGTTCGGCTCATCAGTGGGTCCCCCAACATTCCCTGTCTATTTTCTGGTAGCTGCTTTAATTGTTGCTTCTTACTTTCCTCAGAAGTTAGCCGCTAATTTGCGGTAAGCCAGTTTAAACTAAGGTCTGTGGGCGCTGACCCACTGATGAGCCGAACCCCTCGTCGTCGCGCCATACAGCGGCAGAATATCGGCGAAACATGGGTCTTAGCTTTTAGCTAGTAACTGTGCTGCTAGCATGATATCCTATATTCCAATATTATTCTCTACTTAACGTATTTAGCCAGTGAATAAGACACTTACCCGGCAAATAAGGTTCATTAGTAGCCAAGGAGAGATACCGTAAATCCGACCTCAAAACCAACGCTTGGCCACATGTGGTGGGTGAGTTTCGAAGGTTTTGGTCCCCGTCTCCAATTTTTACCAGAATCACTTCTGATGCGAGAAGGGTGCAACAGGTACGTAACGGGTGGGACGTACAGAAATCTACAAACATGCCTCGCAAACCAAATGGAAAAGCTGAAATGCTTTTTTATGTAATCTACGTGTCCTACTTTGTTAAATAATCACACAGAAAAAACACGCTTGATATGAAGTCAACCAGTAAGGCCCCGCGAGCTAGCACGTTCTTACCCGGTAGACGTGCAGTATTTCTGATGTATATCTGCATTCACTGAAACCTTGTGGCTCCTTCTGTCCTACATTATTTTTCCTATGACTAGCTACTGTGTCGACAATTTCAACTTCGCCCACGGCCCACAGTTAGTAAGGTTGCCTAAATACTAAGTTTTAGCAGGCATTCTTACCAATAGCTTGATATATAACCGCGGGTTTCCTATGTGACCGAATATGGCGTACACATAGTAGGACTTTAGTTCTAGACATGAACGCCAGATGTGTGGACATTGTACTTTAATTTGACAATATATTGTCACGAAATATCGAAACATTGCCGATTACTGTTGTTTATGAACCATGTCCGCAGCTGTATACACCACTGCTTCTATGTGGCTGTAAACAATGTTTCATTTCAGAAATCGGCGTGTAATACGCTTGGTTGTTAATAGGCCAGCTCTACTAACAGGAGCCAGTTAGTGTGCTCAAGGTGGTAATCCGTTCGATGGTTTACTAAGGTGTAACGTGAGCTTACAAGACGCTGTCCGAATCCCATACGACAAACCCACCGGCTCTGCTTGAACGACTAATGCATGTTTTAACATCCACGAAATGTAGTCGCCCATTATTTGACTTCCACATCTCATTTGGCAAACGTTTTCATGTAATTTATAAACTATCAACCTAGAATGTTGGCTTCCCGCGACGCTCTGAACACCGAGTAAGGTTACGCTGAGTGGAAATTTCATTAAGAGAAACCTAGTCGGGCGTAACTACGTTCACTAGCAGCAGCCGGAAGCGGCTACTAATAATGCGAAGGCAGACAAGGGGTGGTGATGTCATTAACAACCGGCCTTGTCTGGCGGCCTTCATGTGGCACGTGGGTGGACAAAGTGGTACATGATGCATAGACAAATCCCACTATGGTGAATGAGACACGATCGCTGGGACGAGAGCTCTTGTGCCTGCTCCTCCATGCTGTGGATCCACGGTGGACAGCGCCAGATGCGACGCTTGAACCATCATAAGAAGCTGTCAGGACAATTCTGGCCGGTTACTTCTTCCTCGCCGTCAATGTACAAAATGTGCAGATCAGATAGAACACCGCGCCTTTATCTACGAACGACGTCGAGTTACTGCGTTAACCGAGATATAGCGTCTCGCGGTA